GAAGTTAAAATACTCCAAAAAGGCAAAAAAGGAAATCCTCCCATTTCAAGGCTTCTTTCATGTGTTTATGTCACTAAATAGCTATTAAGAGGTAAGTACATCAGCAATGAATCTTACTTCTGAGACAGCTACAATCCCACTTCTGGAATTACAACCAGAATCTTATAAGTGAGCCCTGTACTTTAGCAGAAAGACAAGGAAGGCAACCAAATTGGAGTATTAAAGACTTGCTAGAAATCCTGCTGAAGCCCCAGTGTGTTCTGTCGCTTTCTACAGAGTGAATACAACCAGTGTTCATTCATTATATTGGAGGGATACATCCTGGAAGGATATGAATTCACAGGAATTAACTGACAGTGGGATGGTGTTTCCAGAAGTTAGGTGTTGAGAGACAAACAGAGTGGTATGCCTCAATAGGCATTAAGTTGTAGCTTGAGGTGCTAAACACACACTCACAGATGCACATGCAAAGAGATGAGAGAGAGAGAGAGAAAGAGAGAGAGAGAGAGAGACTCCCATCTGCTTGTCCCATCTGCTTGTTCACTGCCTAAATGGCTAATATGGCTGGAATGTGCCAGTCCATACAGCAGAACATGGAGCTTCTTCCAAGTCTCCCACATGTGTGCATGGCAACTTGGGTCATCCTTCCCTGCATTCCCACAAAGCTGGATTAGACATGGACCACCTTGGACTCAAACTGGCAAGCATATGGGATGCTGGCACTATGCACTACACTGCAGGGAAGAATCCTGCAATAAACTCATTTATACTGAAACTGAAGAAAGTCACAATTAACAAAGAAACAAAACTTTTGAAAATCCCAAGTGTATCAGAGCAGAAAAGAAGAGAATCACAGGAAATTCTCAGAGACACATGAAGGTAACCTGTGTAGTGAAATGGGTACATATTTTCAGAATCAGAAGGCAGAAAGTTCTGTGTCCAGCAAAACTCTTTCTGAAACTGAAAGAACAGTAAGCTCTAAGCACCTGCCCAAAAGATTTAAAAGTGAGTGTTTGTTACTGGTGGAACTGTCCTGGGAGAAGTTTTAAAAGATGTTCACTAAGGAGGAGGAAAATGATAGATGTAAGTACAGGCATGAATTCTAAGTTGACAAATGGAATTACATAAAACTGAGAATCTTCTACACCACAAAAGAAACTCTCTGTAAAGAGGCAAATGACAGATGGGAGAAAATGAAAATACTTGCCAACTATGCCACTGATGAAGGAAAACTATTTAGGATCTATAAAGAGCTAAAGAAAATCATCAGCAACAAAACAAAGTTAAGAAATGGGCATTTTTCAAGAGACTATATTCAAATGGACAGCAGGCTCCTGAAGAAATGCCCAGGCTCACCAGCCTTCAGTGAAATGCAAATCAAAACTCATACCTGTTGCAGTAATTGTTACCTGATACTCAACAGCAGAAGATGTTAAATGCTACTTCAGGATCAAGAAACGCAGAACTGTGTTAATAAAATTATTTGGGTATGCAACATTAATTTACATGTCTTTTATGTATATACACATCATACATAAAACATATGCATATATACGTAAAAGACAAAATCAAGGAAAAATTCTAAAAGTAGCAAAATCACAAAGCAAGTAGCTTGAGTGGTAGGAGTTAAAAGTCCAACAAATTTACTTCAACATAATATCTCATGTAAGTATTTTTTTTTTCAAGAGGATGATCTTTTAATGAAGACTTTTGCATTTAGTTACTTTTTTTAACTTTTATTTAATGAATATAAATTTCCAAAGTACAGCTTATGGATTACAATGGCTTCCCCCCATAACGTCCCTCCTACCCACAAAACTCCCCTTTCCCACTCCCTCTCCCCTTCCATTCATATCAAGATTCATTTTTGATTCTCTTTATATACAGAAGATCAGTTTAGCATACATTAAGTCAAGATTTCAACAGTTTGCTCCCACACAGAAACATAAAGTGAAAAATACTGTTTGAGTACAAGTTATAGCATTAAATCTCAATGTACAGCACACTAAAGACAAAGATCCTACATGAGGAGTAAGTGCACAGTGACTCCTGTTGTTGACTTAACAATTGACACTCTTGTTTATGGCATCAGTAATCACCCTAGGCTCTTGTCATGAGCTACCAAGGCTATGGAAGCCCCCTGAGTTCACTGACTCTGATCATATTTAGACAAGGCCATGGTCAAAGTGGAAGTTCTCTCCTCCCTTCAGAGAAAGGTACCTCCTTCTTTGATGACCCGTTCTTTCCACTGGGATCTCACTCGTGGAGATCTTTCATTTAGGTTTTTTTTTTTTTTTTCCTCCCCCAGAGTGTCTTGGCTTTCCATGCCTGAAATACTCTTTTGGGCTTTTCAGCCAGATCCGTATGCCTTAAGGGCTGATTCTGAGGCCAGAGTGCTGTTTAGGACATCTGCCATTCTATGGATCTGCTGGGTATCTCACTTCCCATGTTAGATCGTTCTCTCCCTTTTTTATTCTACCAGCTAGTATTTACAGACACTAGTCTTGTTTATGTGATCCCTTTGGTTCTTAGTCCTATCATTATGATCAGTTGTGAACAGAAATTGATCACTGGGACTAGTGAGATGACATTGGTACATGCCACCTCGATGGGATTGAATTGGAATCCCCTGGTATGTTTCTAACTCTACCGTTTGAGGTAAGTCAGCTTGGACATGTCCCGAATTGCACATCTCTTCCCTCTCTTATTTCCACTCTTATGTTTAACAGGGATCACATTTCAGCACTTAAGTTTCAGCACTTAAGAATAACTGTGTATTGATTACAGTATTCAACCAAAGGTATTAAGTAGAACAAACAAACAAAAATACTAAGAGGGATAACATATTAAGTTGCTCCTCAATAGTCAGGGTGAGCGCTGATCAAGTCAACATTTCTCATAGTGTTTATTTCACTTTAACAGGTTTCCTTTTTGGTGCTCAGTTAGTTGCCACCTATCAAGGAGAACAAGTGGTATTTGTCCCTTTTGGATTGGCTTATTTCACTCAGCATAATGTTTTCCAAATTCCTAACAGGGATCACTTTTCAGTTAAAATTTAAACACCTAAGAATAATTGTGTGTTAATTACAGAGTTCAACCAATGGTACTAGAACAAAAAAAATACTAAAATGGATAAAGTATTACATTGTACCTCAACTGTCAGGACAAGAGCTGGTCAAGTCACTGTTTCTCATAGTGTCAATTTCACTTCAACATGTTTTGTTTTTTTAAAGCCTCATTTACTTATTTGAAAGTCAGAGTTATACAGAGAGAGGTCTTCCAACCAATGGTTCACTTTCCAATTGTCCGCAACAAATGGAGCTATGTCGATCAGGAGACAGGAGCCTCTTCCGCATCTCCCACACAGGTGCAGGGGCCCAAGGACTGCTTTCCCAGGCCATAGCAAAGAGCTGGATTGGAAGTGAGCAACCGGGACTAGAACTGGCACTCATATGGGATGCCAGTGCTTCAGGCCAGGGCATTAACCTGCTGCGTCACAGCACCGGCCCCCAGATGTAAATTTTTAACCTATTAATAATTATCTTGAAATAAATGGATCATTAACCAAATCTAAATAATAAGGGCCTATTTGTTAATAATTTAAAAGAAAACAAGGGCCATTTAAATGCTTCCTTGAAGAAATTTAAGATTTCCTGTACTGAAAGGACACACACACGCCCCAAGTAAAATTTACAGGAAGAAAGTGTATAAAGCAAATGGAAATCAAACGAAGGTTTTCTACAACACCGATGGGGAAGTTCCAGTTGGAACCATTTTACAGGAGGAAAGAAAAGAATGATGTGTGCAACACACCATCAGCTCCCTTTGGCTGTGTGACACAGTCTAATCCTTTACCTGTCCACTGGTTAGTTAGATGGTGTGTGTTAGTGGAACAGCTCCCCACCACAAAAAGAACACTGTAGGGGGGCCACAGAGCAGGTGCTGGTGAGGCTTCAAGCATCTCTTAGACTGCAAGCTCCTTTTAACACCTCTATGCAAGCTCCAAGTCTTTCCCTTTACAGTAGCCTAAACACATAGGATGACAAACCCATGGCCGTAGGAAGGACCTGAAATAGTGATGGGGGTCCTGCCACTACCCAAAGAGAAGACATTGTTACTGAAACACACACTACAAAGAAGGGAACATACATTGTGTGAGCTGTTTTCTGCATTGGTCCTCTGGATATACACTCATGGCCAAAGATTAACTCAACTAGACAACAGAAATAAGACTCAAAGTGACTGCCTCTGGGAAGATCTATGTACACAGCTGTAAGTGCGCATAGGGTGGTATCTGGAAACTTAGCAGCTGCACGTCTCAGGTCCCTGCACTTCTGCCTACCTTTTCCAAACTATGTTCTGTCCTCAACAACACAGGCACTGACACTGATGCAGACATACAACTAGAATTTTACAGTGTTTTCCCAACAGGTTACCATTTAATAAAGACCCCTTTGTCCCAGTCAAAGTTGTATTCTACTCCCTTTTCACAAACTCTGTATGCTTGTTCCCAACCCTTCAGGTATCTTCTGTGCCTCAGTCATAATATGTCCTTCTCCCAGGAAAGAATTCTTCATTCATCTATGTAAGGAGAACATTTGTTTCAGTGGGGAAACTATCTAAAGAGGCTTCCAACAGCCTATGTTCCTGTGCTGTCTCTGACATATGAGATGCTCTGTGAGGAACATTTTCTGAACACACAGAGCTCTGTTGTTTGGGCGTTAGTTCACCGGGACCTTTGTGAAACTGCCCTCACTTGGCTTGGGAGAAATCAATGGTATCGATGGTCACTGGCTCCCTTCGCCACACTTGCTCTGATGTGCCCCTGGTCTGAAGGATGAATTCTTGCAAGAAACATTTCAGAGTATTACAAAATAGATTTCTAACTTTCTCACCAGTCGTATCAATCCTGTCACTGAACAGATTAGGATGTCCCAGACAGAAAAACCAGAAACCACACATGGACTACACCTTTTCCCTTCTCCCTGTTGGGAGCATGAAGAATGACACGCAGACATACACACATTATCCTGTTTATTGCTCCCTCCGGATTTTTCTTGCGGTAGGTGTTGATCCAAAGTGCCAATTTATCACCATCAAATCTGAACCTTTTTTCTTATGTTTTAGGATCAGTTTATGAATTCTCCTGGATGAAGGTTTTCAAAGGAACACATTGCCACTGCAGTGACTTCTATATCTCGGGGCATCCTGAAAGACACAAATAAACACAGATGCACTTTCTCTGAACAACACCAAAGTCCTTACAAATTATCAAAGCTCTGCATTGGAATATTCCTTTCCCTCTGTGTCACCTATCCACATTCCTCCCAAAAAGTATCAAAAACTATTTTCCTCTCACTGCAATGTCTTTGCTGGTATCCAGAGACTGGCATGGTACAAGACGACTACACAAGGCACATATTTTCAAAACAGTAACTTGGTAGGATGTCATCATACAAACATACATATACATGTGTGGAAACAGTGAACAAGTAAGCTATGGTGAGGCCAGATATAACTGGGTAATTATAAAGCTGAGGGTCATCAAGTGCCTTGTAATATTAATAGACAGAATTAAAAAGGAAGGAAAGTCCATTTTGGGAAGCAGTCCACAAAGCAGACTCCTAGAAGGACCTTCGCCATAAGTAACACTCTGACCTCAGAATAAATCCTTAAGTCTTCCTGGCCTGGCTGAAAGGACTGTCAGAGCATTTCAGGCGTGGAAAGCTAAAACTCAGTGGCAAAAAGTATCCTACACAGAGAATCTCTGTGAGACCCCTATGGAAAGAAAGGTCCATCAAAGAGGGACGTACACTTCCCTGAAGGGAGGAGAGAACATCCACTCTGCTTATGGCTGTGTCCAAATACCGATGGGGTCTGGTCACAAGAGGCTGCCGCAGCCTTGGCAGTCTATAGCAAGATCTTTGGGTGATCACGGATATCATAAATAAGAGTGTTAATTGTTAAAGGAACAACAGAAGTCACTGTGCTCTTACTCCCCATGTGAGATCTCTGTCCTTAATGAGCTGTACTATGAGAATCAACTGCAAATCTTATTCTGAAACTGTACTCCACCCACTGTGTGTGCATGTGGGTGCAAACTGTTGAAATCTGTGCTTAACATGGAGTTGGTCCTCTGTAAATAAAATCAAACTAAAAATGAAACATAATGCAGAAGGGTATGACAGAGGGAGAGGCAGGGAGGTGGGTATGGGGGAAAAACCATTATATTACTAAAGTTGTACTGATGAAAAATGCATTTATTAAATAAAATCTTTACAAAAATCAAAAGAAAAGGCTGAGGGTGAGTTGACCTGCAAGTGATAGAGTGCAGCAACTGATTCTGAAAGGCTTCTGAGTGGGATATTCTCCATGCTTCAGTTTGTGTGCATGACTCATCCTCACAAATTTTAACTGCATTTTCCCAGTGTCCCTGGTTGATATTGACACACAGGATGGACTGAGTTTGGGCAATCCTCTTCTCCCTCTGAGCTTCAGTGACTGACTAATGGCCTTTGGGAGATGTGTGATTGGATCCCAGAAAACAGTACCTTCAACTGAACAGCTGGGCTGCTCACTCGCATCCTCCGTTTCCTGTCCAGATGTCTCCTCCCTAGGGTAGTAGGCCACAGGGTTGAGCCACATATCCTTGCAGATGATCTGGCAGCAAAGAGGGGCAGGTCAGCTCACTGCTCACATCACCCCATTCACCTTGGGCTGAAGAACCCAAGGAGTTCACTTTTGACCTTTCCCAGTGAGGCCCACCTCAGCAATCCTGTTTGATCCTACAAAGTTGTGGTCCAAAAACCAGTTGAAGATGCTCAGAGTGCTGCTGTACTGCCTGCGGCTTTGGGCCTCGTGTTTATAAGTCCGATGCCACTTAACTGTAGTGGAATGATATGCTATATATCCTACAGGAAGAAAAGGATATGGAATAGGATGGCAGCAATGACCTACACACCTCCTCCCAATTCAGTCTGAGAAACTGCTCACCCTTCACATCTCTAAGATATTCCTTTTCAATCAACTTATTACAGAAGTACGGGTTGATCTGAAAGTACATCTTGATCTTGCAGCAATTATTGGGGTGATTGACTTCCTCCACCTGCCAGGATAAAGTGAAGGCAAACTTACCCAGTCACTTGCAAAAAGACTCTGTTTCTTATGTCACCCTGCCCAAAACACCACCAGATCTCACAGGGACTCACCTGCAAATTGACCATGTAGCTAAGCAAGTCTTCATCCTTGTCCCGGACCATGGCTGACATCTGAGGGTGGTTCACAAACTGCTTTGTCAAGGAACCTTCAGATGATAAAGAGTGCTGGTGTGTGTGCATTTGGGTAGAGAAGAGCCAGATGAGGGAAAAAGTATGGAGAAAATGCCACTGAGAGACCTTGCAGAGTATATATCCTCACCCTAGGCTCCCTTTCAGCACATTTCCCCAGGTGAGTGTAACATGGTACTGGTTAACCTCTAAGTTTGTGGACGCCAGAGTGGCCCTTTCCTCGGCATGGTGACAGCCCTGGTATTGGTGTGCTAAGGCTATACTATCACCACATACTTTGGGGCAACACAGGTTCTTAGTGGTGATCTGGCAGGAGAACGGACCTGCATCAGCTCAACATTCAGATCCCATTCCTCAGCTGTCGAGGAGCACAATTCTGAAGTTTGCCGTGAGACCCAACCTCAAGAATCCTTTTAGATCCTACCTCCCCGCTGAGTCAGACAGCTGGTTCTGACTCTCTAGGAGGGTAAATCAACCCTCTTTCTAGAAACCTCCATCACAAGAAATACTGTGCTTCCACTGGCACCTTTTGGGTGACGGACTCCCTTGGGCTCTCTGTGATTCTGGTATAGAACTACTCTTACCATCCCAGTCACAGGTCATGTTCAGGGTCAGAATGTCCCTACCATTCTCTAGGGCAGTTTTATAGGCGTGTGGACCAACTGTATTCTCTCCAACTGCTGGTTGTTTGTTTAGTAGATCTCCAAAACACAGCCTGCACAAGCACATAACCCTACAGGCACAAAGAGGCAAAGCTCAGGCCAGCTCTGTGGGATGGCAGGAAATGCCACCACCTGCAGCACCAGCCACCCATAAAGGCCCCAGAGGGACCAGGCTGCTCGTCCTCTGTCCCAGCTCTCTGCTGTGGGCAGGGAAAGCTGTGGAAGTGGCTCCAGTGCTTGACCCCTGCACACCTGTGTGTGGTTCCAGAAGAAGCTCCTGGCTGCAGGCTTCAGTTCGGCGCAGCTGCGGGTCGTCACTTCCATTGGGGAGGGAACCTGAGCATGGAAGACTTTTCTTTCCCTATCACGGTCTCCCTTCCTCATTCTCTCTCCCTCTCCCTCCCTCGGTCTCTTTCTCACAAACTTCCCTTTCAAAAAAGAAACAAATCTTTAAAGAAAGAAGAAAACTCCAAAGGATACAACCTTGGCCCAGAAGCCGGGGATATCCTGGATGACGCTCCTCCTTTGCTCCAGGAGAACCCTGCGCCTCTGCTGCAGCTTCTGCTTCAGCCGGGCGTAGGCCCTGGTGGCTTGGTTATTCACGGGCTGCATATCTAACTGGAGGGCTTCCAGTTCCTCCAGCAGAGGCTGGCAAGCCAGTGACACATGCCCCGGCCACGCCGGCCCGTTCTTTTCCTGCTTCTCCTGGGGTCAAAATCAGGCTTGTTGTGGCAGCACCTGCCCCTCCTGCTTCTGCTCCCCCAATTCCTTCCCCTGCCTCCTCAGCCACCACCTCCATCACATACAGCAGTAACAGCGCTGCTGCATCCTCCCTAATGGCCCCCATCTCTCCTCAAATGCCCAGTTCGCTTGAGCGGTGTCCACTACACCCCCCAACGCTAGCGGCCCGGCGCACTCCCCGGCAGCATCACCATCCAGAGCGCCTGCCAAGCGGGCCTTTCCCTCGCAAAAGCTCTGTCTTCAGCTCAGCCAGATGGTTCTCGGCGAGCCCCGCCACCCGGATCCCTCACCTCAGCGGACATCCCGTCCTGGTCCTCAGCGGCTTCGGCCAGGACCGCTCCACGTGTTTAACGACGCGCTTTATAAGCCTCGCACAAAGAACTGGCGCCACTGTGAGCTTCCGCACCGTCACCCGGAAGATTTGGAGTGGCCACGCTCCAGGCGCATGCGTACAGAATCCTAACGCCTGCAAGGGGCCAATGGGTGGGAGTGTGACGCTAGACCCATGCTGCACTGCGTTCTCCCTGGAGCGCCAATTAGTGACGGTGAGGGGTCGTTCCCATGCGGAAGTAAGCCTTCTATGGAAGACGAGGTCTGCAATTTAAGGGTACAGGATCCCTGGGTTCCCAGCCCTAGGGCTTGCTGGAAGGCCTGTGCCATCCTAGCTTCGGGACAGTTTCTGAGCAAAGATGGTGGCCCGTTCTTCCTGGTACAGCAAGCATTGAATCGTGCAGCCCCAGGTGCTTTACGTTATCTCAGCATTCCATGCGTGGCTCAAATTCTAAAGGTGGGCCCGCCCACATGCTACCCCAAAATGGTTACTTTACGTTACGGTTTTCTTCGTAGCAGATGCAAATTCTTCTGTGTCTTGTGATAATACTTGCGGGTTCAGTGCCGTTGTGGTACAAAAGGTGTATTGTAGTCCTGGTACATAATGACACTGAGAAAAGTGCACTTGGGAGCAAATCCATAAGGTACGTGGATCCCACGTTACCTTCTTGAATTGGATCGACAGAGCCTTGCAGTGCAAAAGTAACAATTGTGACCCGCAGCAGAAAATGATGACATGAAGGGGATGCATCAGAGAATTTTCTAGATGGGGCCAGTTTCAGGTTTGCGTTCTGCCAAGCTGTAAGTCAGTGTTGGAAAATAGGGTTGCCTTGTGGTTTGGATGGACTTTAAGAAGCGCTGCCCTCACACCATTTCCTCCAACTGTGTATCTTCTAAATTCGTAATATTTTGAGATGGTTGTATGGAATAGTGTTTTCCTAGGTATTTTCTCTAGACCTGTTGCAGAGGAAGGAGTCTCATTTTGGGAAACCTCATAAATAGCATGCAGATTGGGAAATGCAGTTAGCGTTTCAAAAACAGTTCTTCAGACAAACTTCCAAGAAACGTGATGTTCAGTTTCAGAGCTAGGAACAAGTTTGGAGACTTGGAGAAAATAATCATCGCTATAAGTTTTTTGAATTTATTTAATTGTTTTTTTTTATATATATATATGCCCCCGGTATATCCCCAGGTGTTACAGGGTGCTGTCTGGTCTCATTCTCATTTATTTGCATGCCTTGTGCTGTTTTATTTAGAACTGGATGTTATGAAAATTGTGAGATCTGTTTCTGGAGAGTATATTGCGCTTTCTTGCAGTAGTTTGGTAGCGTTTTCCTTCGTTTTGGGATTTCTTTTGCCTACCAACAAATTCTTGGTATGTGCAGAACACTTGTCTCAACTCGGATAGCTTAGAAATCATAAGTGATTGGTGAGAAAATCTCTTCAGATTCCCAGAACAAGAGCATAAGTGTTCTGAGGTCCAAAAGTTCTGTCTCTTGTGTCTGTGTTCCCCATTCCTAATTACTTGTACTCTAGAGATGAGCCCGAAGGAGCATTTCATTTTCTTCCCATGTCTTTTCTTGAGCATGGGGAATGTGTAGACTGGTGAGTCTTCTGGCGTACTTGGCAGCTGCTCAAACTGTTTTTCACTCTCTGCAGTTTAGTATCTTAGGTACATTAGGTAGTTTAGTTGGCCTTTTGCTTACCCCATCTCTGTAGTTCCCATTTGACATGTATACCACATATCCTTTACTTGCAGCGATGCCATTACTCATTAAGGAAGGCACAGTGCAGTGTGAGGCAAAAGGCATGACAGCCAGGTCAGCGTCGAGGCAGCTCCGACCTGCTAAATGAACGAATGGGACTCTGTAAATTCAAGTTCCAATTACACCTGTGCCACTGGAGAGCCAGATGAAGATAGTGACTCACTTTACCCCAGTCCCATAAATGAGGCGGAGCAGGGGGGTGCTGCAGGACTGGGCAAGAATCATGGCATTCTGGTAGAAGTCAACAGTGACTTCTGCGTTAAGCATTCACCTGACTCTTTTAGCTTTTCACTGTATCAGGGAGGGTTGGGAATTACTCATAATAGACAGTGGATTTACAAAAAGCTAATTTTTGTGAGCCTGAAGATAAACACTGTAAGGAAACTGTACAGAGAATGATCTTTAGAAAGTTGAAATTCTTGATGAATTACTAAGTAATTCATCTGCAATAAACCTACAATTTTTTTGAGGTTTCATCATGGCAGTTAATATTTCATTTACAATTTTTTTTCTTTAGGGCCATTTTGTCTATGATTAATTCTTTAGTTTTTCGTCATCAAAGCTTTTTAAAAATATTCTTTGCTTCCAGCACTCTGGCATAGCAGTTTACCTAAGCCCTTCATTGCCTATATCCCATATGGGCACTGTCTTGAGTTTTGGCTGCACCTTTTATTATCCATATTTCTACTATCGCATGGGAAAGCAGTGGAAAATGGCCCTGTCCTTGGGGCCCCACACATGTGTGTGAGACTCATACACTTGGTTTCTGGCTTCAGATATGCTCAGATCCTGCTGTTATGGCTTTTTGGAGAGTGAACCATTAGATGGAGGATTTCTCTCTTCTCTCTCTCTCTCTCTCTGCCTCTCCTTTCTTTTTGTAACTCTGACTTTCAAGTAAATAAATAAAGCTTTAAAATTTCTCTAAGTTAAATAAGTTTCCTTTATTTCTTATATAATGATTTAGGAACACAGACATATTTGCCTTCTTACCTTCACTTCTGCCAACACACTAAACCATTCTCTCTTATGGGCTTCACATGCCCAGTCTTATTTTACAAAGATCTAGTTTCAGTGTACTTTTGATCCTAAGATGGACCCTATCAAAGATGAGTGTTCAAGAAATAATATGAAGAAAATAATGCCCTTCTAATCATAAGAGAGCAGGGCTGAAACAGTCGTCAATCACAAAATGTCCACTTCTCTCCAAAACATTATATTTTAAGGCCTCTATGAGTTACCTCTGATCAGGAAGACAGATGGTCTCTGTCTTCTTGGATGGGCTGGTTCACTCCCCAAATAGCCACAATGGCCAGAGCTGCACCAATCTGAATCCAGGAGTCAGGAGCTACTTTTCTGTGAGCCTGACCGATAAACTCTATAATTAAATGTACAGATAATTATCTCTAGAAAATAGAAAATCAATCCAGAAAGCACTAAATAATTTATCTGCTAATATGATTAAGATTTGTGAGTTTTTGTGGCTTCATCATGACAGTTAAGAGTTCACTTCCAATATACAATTTTTCTTGTAATGGCACTGTGTTTATGAGTAATTGCTTTAAGAGGTCTTCATCAAAATTTTTAAAGTTTTCTTTGGGGCCACAACTGTGGTGCAGCAGATGATACCACCCCCTGCAGTTGCCAGCATCCTCTGTGGGCACCTGTTGGAGACCTGGCTGCTTCTCTTCTGATGCAGCTCTCTGCCATGGACAGCGAGAGCATTGGAAGATGGCCCATCTCCTTGGGTCCTTTCACCTGGATGGGAGACCTGAAAGAATCTCCTGCCTCCTGGCTTTGGATTGGCCCAGATCATCTGCTGAGGCCAGCTGGGGAGTGAACCAACATATGGAAGATACTCCCTATCTCTGCCTCTCCTTCTTTCTCTTTGTAACTCTGAGTTTCAAGTAAATATTTAATAATTTTCTTTAAGTTAAACAAGGTTTATTTATTTCATGTGTACAGATTTATGAACACAGAGAAACTTGCCCTCCTACCTGCCCTCCTGACAACATGCCAAACCATTCTTCCTAATCTCTTACATTCCCTGTCCTAATTTTCCTGAGTGTGAATCTCTTTTTTTCTTTTTTCTTTTGACAGACAGAATGGACAGTGAGAGAGAGAGACGGAGAGAAAGGTCTTCCTTTGCCGTTGGTTGACCCTCCAATGGCCGCCAGTGGCTGGTGCGCTGCGGCCGGTGCACCATGCTGATCAGATGGCAGGATCCAGGTGCTTCTCCTGGTCTCCCATGGGGTGCGGGGCCCAAATACTTGGGCCATCCTCCACTGCACTCCCGGGCCACAGCAGAGAGCTGGCCTGGAAGAAGGGCAACCGGGACATAATCTGGGGCCTGATCAGGACTAGAACCAGGTGTGCCAGCACCGCAAGGTGGAGGATTAACTAGTGAGTCGCGGTGCCGGCTTGTGAGTGTGAATCTCTAAGAAGAGAGTTCAAGAAGTAGTATGAAGAAAACAATACTGTTCTCAACATAAGAGACAAGGGCCAAAAAAGTCATCAAACCTCAAAATACACACTTCCAGCCCATCCATTATATTTGAGGTCCTCTACAAGTTACCTCCAATCAGGGAAAACATATGGTGTCTGGCTTTTTTTTTTAAGCAAGTTTAGTGGTTTGCAATTGGGTTTCTTTTTTTTTTCACAGTTGAGTAGTACTCCATAGTTTGAGTGTCTACATAGCATAATTGCTTTATTATCAATAGCTGGATGGACTCATGATTGATTCCATATCTTAGCTATGGTGAATTGTGCCACAATGCACATGTGGGTACAGATAACTCTTTCATATTCTGTGTCATGCTGTGAGTCTACATGTATTTATTAGGCGGTATCTCCCTACTGTGTTACAGTGGCTGTACAAGTTTAGATTACAATCAATGGTGGATTAATATACCTTTTCCCCCACATCCTCCCCAGGATATATTTTGGTTGAGTTCTGACTGGAGCCATTCTAACTGTAGTGAGGTGATAGCTCATTGTGGTTTTGATTCGCAGTGCAGTGGTGGCCTGTGATCCTGAACATTTTCTCAAGTGTCTGTTGGCTCTTTGAATTTCCACTCTTAAAAATTATACCCATTCGATCCTTTGGCCACATCTTAACTGGATTGTTTGTGCTGTTGTTGTTGAATTTCTTAGGCTCTGTATAGCTTCAGGATATTGACAATCAGTTGTGTACTATGCAAGTATTTTTTGTTCTCATTTCTCTTTTGCCTCTTCACTTTGCTGAGTTTTCTTCTTGCAGCTCAAAAGTTTCTCAGCTTGAAGGAATCACATATGTCAATTTTAGTTTTGATTGCCTGTCATTCTGGGGTCTTTTCCAACAAGTCTTGGCCTATGCCACTGTCTT